TAGAGTTTTAGGGTTTAGAGATTGTATATTATATATATATATGTACGTATATACAGTTGAGGGTACCACATTAGGTACACAGGGACCCCGAGACCAAGGACCCATAATAGGGGCCTGTGGCTTTAATCCTTGTGCCTGCCTATGATGACAAAGGCCTCTGACCAACTCGCACAAAATAGTTCGGCAAAACTTGTTCTGATCTCTAACTGTTTCTACATGGCACTACTGGCTTGGAATATACCTAGCTAACTCACAAAAACTCAAAGCCGCTTATGATACCTTGGATGGATGTTGTATGGGGTCCAAGAACTGAAGATCTCTTGGTAGAAGGCACACCCTCAACCCCAGAAGTCCAAACAAGATTTCAGCCCTTAGGACCCTTAGGATCTACCTGAACCCCAAAGGTACGTAAAATACTAGCCCTAAACCCATAATAACAGCCATAAAGGCTATCATTTTACATACTTTTGGGGTCCAGGTAGAAGATACCCAAAGGCTCCTCGGAATGACTGTCGGGCTTTCTGGGGGAAGGTGCGGGCTTCGAGGTCTAGGGTTTAGGGTTCTGGGTACTGGGTACCACAAGGGACTATTGTAGACGTATTAATCCGAGCATCAGAATTATGAAGGGTACCATATTTACAGAACATATTTTTGGAAAAATTAGCCGTCCAAGACTAATTTCAATTAGGTGGAATTTTGTATGGGGAAAAGGGACTAGATTTCAAGAATTTTTGGGGGGACCAATCCTGAAAATCGAGATATTCAATGCATTCCTATTCATTTGTTTAATTGGTAGAGGTGCAAGAGCCCCGATAACGCGGGAATGCATTTCTTTTTTTTTGAAATTGAATTCCAGGAGCCCCAATCATTCGTTTAATCTGGCGCCCTCCATTTCTTATTCTGGCGGGGGGGGGGGGCCAAATTATTCAGATCCTCGGATTAAGGCCTCATTAAGTCCATATTAAGGAGCTATTACTATAGGGGGATTGACCTAACTCCTGCTGTTGATACAAAAAATCCGACATGATCTTATTACTGAGCATGATCTTGGGAAGATCCTTACAAGAAGGAACCCACGGATCCCGGGCCCTTTTTCTTGTGGGGTTTGGTTTAGGGTTTACGGCTCAGAGGGGGTCAGAACGCATTGCTATTGTGGAGTCTATAGGCCTCGTGCCATTTGAATTTGTTTGCTACAGGCATCCTTAAACAACAACGTCTCTCTTGAACTAGCTTATCTTACCCATACTCGGAGTGAAGGAGTGGGTTCATGTGCAACAAAACCCCCAACCCCAAACCCTAAAGCCCAAAACACATCCATAAACATTAAACTCTGAAACCCTAAGCTTTTACCGCATAGGCACAATCATGTAGGGTTCAAGGTTTGGGGTTGCAAAGACTGCATCCAACACCGGCCCCGAAACAAACACGAAATCCGAACCAGGGGCCCAGAAAGGCCCGTGTTCCTATAAGAGGGGCCATAGGAGGTCCCATGTAAAATTGTGGAGAGGCCAGGCCCTCAACTTCGTGAAAATGTGAGAAAATACGAAACACCCTGACTGAACGCGAACGGCCAAACTCTAAACCTTAAACCCTAAGCCCTAACCTTAAGCACTAGCCGCTAGCCTCTAAACCCTAAACTTTAGACCCTGAAGAAAGATTTCAGGTTCTGCGGCCCCGCAAGTATGGCCCCCTGTTAGGGGATTAGCGTTTAGGGTACAGGGTGTAGGGATTTGGGTTTTAGGACTTCGGTTATAGGGTATAGAGTTTTAGGGTTTAGAGATTGTGTATTATATATATATGTATATACAGTTGAGGTACCACATTAGGTACACAGGGACCCCGAGACCAAGGACCGCCTATGATGCCAAAGGCCTCTGACCAACTCGCACAAAATAGTTCGGCAAAACTTGTTCTGATCTCTAACTGTTTCTACATGGCACTACTGGCTTGGAATATACCTAGCTAACTCACAAAAACTCAAAGCCGCTTATGATACCTTGGATGGATGTTGCATGGGATCCAAGAACTGAAGGTCTCTTGCTAGAAGGCACGCCCTCAACCCCAGAAGTCCAAACAAGATTTCAGCCCTTAGGACCCTTAGGATCTACCTGAACCCCAAAGGTATGTAAAATAATAGCCCTAAACCCATGATAACAGCCGTAAAGGCCATGATTTTACATACTTTTGGGGTCCAGGAAACCCTAAACCCTAAACTCTAAACCCTAAACCCTAAACCCTAAAACCCCAAACCCTTTAGACCCTAAAAGGGGGGAATCCACAGACGGGTGGGGAGGCCTGCAACGTGCTGTTGAGGGAATCTAACCAAAGCCACAGAGGCTGATCCTGGGTTTAGGGTTTAGGGTTTAGGGTTTAGGGGTTTAGGGTTTAGGGGTTTAGGGGTTTAGGGGTTTAGGGGTTTAGGGGTTTAGGGTCTTGGTTTGGAATACTTGCCCCGCATGGGCCGTGGGCCAGGGTGTTGATTGCATACACAGAGTAATTGTATACCAAGCATACCGAGGATTAAGAGCATGTACTAGGGGCCCCTGGCATTAACTTTGGAAGGGAGCATTGCTTAAAGGACGAGCAAAGCGGTAGACAACATGATGACCTCCCCTGAATGATATAGCCTGCCTCCCTGATAACAAATGTTCTCAGTATAGCAGAACCATGTAGATTCCGAGAATAAGCATTTAGGGGGTGGGGGTGTTTTCATTCCAAGAGAGGGCTCACTTCAAAGTTATTTCAAAACACGAACCCCAAAACTACCCCAAAAGTATGTAAAATAATGGCCCTAAATCCATAATGATAGCCATGCAGGCCGTTATGTTACATACTTTTGGGGTCCAGGTACGCCCTAAACCCTCAACCCTAAACCCTAAACCCTATGGTTTCTGTTGAGAACTACTAGCTCCAACCCCATGGGCTGTGAAAGCAGCTGTGACCGGCTTAACACATATGGGACAGTAACGTGGGATTTAGGAATTCTTGTTTACGGTTTAAGCTTGAGCGAGCCTACCCCTAAGGCTCAAACTTGCCGAACGACCTCATATTGTGGAGAATTTGGGCCCCAATTCCTCCAACTATGAATCCTGCAGCCGCGTCTGAAACACTGCTTTGAGGTTTGGAATTTAACAGTTTCCGTCAACAAGGGCCCCCCCCAATATAGACACCAAAGTGGAATCAGCCTTATTACTAGGAGCATCGGAACCACCCATATATTGTTACGGCATTTACAACAAACACAAAATGACAACACGATTCGAACAACAACGCAAAACTTAAACCTTAGAGCTCCAGTCTGCGTGTTAATTTGATTCACTTTCCAAATTCGTCTTGATCATGGGATCCTACACGCCAATGCTCCGGATCCCCCAGATAAACCCCATGAGCGGGGTTTAGGGGTTGAGGGTTTAGGGGCTTAGGGGTTTAGGGGCCTTGGATTTAGCGTTTAGGCTTTGGAGCTTTCGTTTTAGGTTGTAAACGGTCTGAAGGTTTAGGTTTAGGATTATGTTTCTCATGTGTTCCGCCACATGTTCAGAACGTCGATCCACATTCTGCAGACCTCCCACAGCCGCATTCAAAAAGAGACACACATGCACATGTTGAAGTAATTCCCAGGTATTCTTGGCTGCTAATTGGACTTACCCAATGTTCCTAACAGGCCATACCTCCTACTTGTACCTAAGGTACCCTATGTAAGGCCAGCCTCGGGATTTTCTAAGCCGAGTATAAGTGGTTACTAAGTCCCGTGAACCTCTAAGGTCTATTATTTAGGGAAAATCATGGAAAATGAAATGAACAATAGTCTAAACTCCTAGTATCCCCCTTAATAACCCCTATAGTAGTCCCCTATATAATTCCCTATATAAACCCCTTTAAGGAGTTTAGACTATGGTACAAATGGGAACTGGGGGGCGGTAAATGGGGCGTACAGGGATTGAAATGCTACAGTTTTATCGTGGACAACACATGGGTTTCAACGGTTGTAAGCGGTATAATCACGCTTGCAAGTCCCTCAATTGTAGTTCTGGGGTTCAGAAGTATACTTATATTATGTAACAACTAGGGGGCTGCATAGTGTGGGAAGCAAACGCACCCGAACCTATACATGCAGAATGGGTTGTGGAGTCTCGATAGCGTAACATCTCTACATATCCAGCCTTAAACCTGAAAGAGTGTACGACATATGGGACCACACTAAACCCTAAAGCCTTAATCCTGAAACTCATAGCCTAACTGAACTCCTGGAACCTTGAGAGCCCGCGCTCCAAACAACCAAGCAAGAAATCCGCTAAGCCCGCACTTTACCTCGACCCTCCACTGTCGTTCCTTTTTGGGTTTGGTATGGTTTTTGGGGTAGGACTCTTATTGGGACTACAAAAAAGGTACTACATTGGAGGGTCTAGGTATGTCCCTCAGCCCATACCCACTGACAGCCTAAAACTCAGATCTGTAAGCCCCAAACCGCTTTAGCGGTTTAGGGTTTAAGGTGTTTAGGGTTTGGGGTATTTAGGGTTGAGGGTTTGGGGTTTAGGGTTTGAGGTTTAGGGTTTGGGGTTTAGGGTTTTAGAACTAAACCGCTAAACCCCTCAGACCCTCAAACGTATCTATCCCGGACAAGCTCTGGGAACCGGGCTCGTGGAACGGGCTTCGGGGCGACTATCGCCTTCCTCTTCATGGAACTTGGGGGGGGGTCCCAGGATGCAGGGAGTTGCAAGATCATGTCATTAGGGATTAAGGACTAGGGTTTAGGGTTTAGGGCTCCCTTTAACGCCGGGTTCTGATTATAAAACCCCCCC